AATTGTTGGATCAAGTGGGAAGGGGCTGTTGGTATTTTTAGGCCATTTTAACTGCAGTACAAAAAACCAGAGGACCAGAATGTAAGAAGTGGTAGAGTACGTTTTCATTGACTGCCACTGCAACTGGGTGGACATCTTCACAACAGGTATGTTACGCTGATGTGTACACAAACATGCTTGTAACAAATTTCTCAATGAATGTGCACAAGTGAGATTGTGACCCTTGGTAACATTTGTGGTGTTCATACAGTGGAACACATCCTTGACTCTAAGGGGTTTATATCAAGGAACCTTGGAGGTTTGGAAAAGGGATGTTTGTGAATGGCCATGCTGTATCCCCTGCATTAATTTGAAGAGTTCATTTCCTTGATTTATGACGACCTTTGACTTAAGAAATCTATGTCAAAGGTCTGATGTTTGAAAAGGAAGAATGGACAAAGTGCAGTATTGGCAGTTTCCTGAGGGTGAGTTTGATCACGTGGCTGTGTTTGTTTTGTGCCCTTTTTGACAGTGGCGTTACTCATGAATATGCATGAATGCAAAATCATCAAAGTGCGTTGGAGTTGCTTTGTGGTGTTTATCTCTTTGCAATAAGTTTGAGTTTATTGTATTCCAGTGCTTCTTTGTACAGTAAGTTGGAAAAATGGAGAAAACAAATTAAAAAAAAACAGAAAAAGAAGAAGAAAAAAAAGATGCCCCCACATTTAAGTCACGTGAAAGGAAGTTACTGTTAAAACCATTTCATTTTTGTAGCAGATGATGCATTCTTGTTTGTGCATGTACATGTAGCTTTCAGTATCAGGTAGGAAAAAAAAATCATATGTAAAAAAAGTACTCAAAGAAAACAAAAGGGAAAGCAGATGTTGAACTGGTTTCATGTACTTATTTTGGCAATTTTAACTGGATACATGAAACCTTAAGCCTTGTTTTTGTAGTGGTGAGTTGTTTCCTTAAACTACCATACACATTCGGGAAAGTGACAGCAACTTAACAGACATACGAAATTTTACTTTCACTGTGTCATCAATGATATGGAAGTTACAAGTACTGTACTTATTTAGGGTTTCTTCCATTTGTAACCAGTGCCTTATTCCCTTGTGACTAACACTCCAGTTAGATGGTTTACTATTATCGTATCACTCCCAGTTGGTAGTAGTTTGTAATCCTGTGTGCTTGAATCAAAAGCAAACTTTATATATAATATATGTATATTTTTTGATTACTTAACCACCAAATAATTTGCTCAAGATTAAGAAGTTGTGAAGGGTTGAGATACTTTAGAGTATGTCCAGTCTTGTCTTGGCTGTTGCTACTCCTACCTAAGTGGTATGCATTACAGATAGTATGAGACTATAATTAGGTACTTTGTTGAAGTAAATCGTGGATACTCATAAAGAAAAGCTAACCCTAAAATTAAACCAAAAATGAATACAGGGAAAAATGTATTCAAATCATGAATTTTTTCTCACCCAAAACGTTCATTTGGCAAAACGTGTGATATCTTATATTGGCTGTTCGTCCCTTCATCAATGGAGAAACATGTGATATCTTATATTGGCTGTTCTTCCCTTCATCGATGTGTATTTGTGAACATTGTATACTCAGTGTTGTCTTAGGATTTGTGAACAAATCCACTGGCAATACTTGAATGAACCTAGAACCCAAGTGACCTGTGTACTAGTGTAGACCTGCAAGCAAACGTCTTTTAAGATAAAACTTTTTAACACAGCGATATCTATTTCAGCATATTATGTAGCCTATTTTATGTAGCCCCGCAACCATCTTTTCAAACCTGTATTTGAAAACTTCATAGTTTGTGAAGTTGACTCTGGGTACATGTACGTGTACCTGTACTTGGTCTCATGTTTGAGAACTGGTTCCTCATCATCAACAGGTTGATACTCCGATATCTCATTTCAGTGCACTGCAATATTCTGCTAACACCAATCCATGACATTAATTGCACATGACCATTTAAAAAAAAGAATTCTCTTCATTTTTCTTCTTCACCCTGACCCCAAGACCTCTTTCATTCAAATCTGGGTGCCACCCTTACTAACCCCAACAACACTGCAGTCTGTGTACACCAGTAGGGGTGCTCTAAATGTTAAGGGCCCTGAGTGGGACCGAGAGAGGGCGCAACTTTCCTAGCAACAGAGGCTCTTTTGGTGGGAACTGCACTTCGCTGGTTCAGTTCAGTATGCACGTGTTGCATATGTGTCGCTATCAACAAAATGAATGCTCCCCCCCCCCACCATGGCTGCGTTCAACCAATGAGGGGCAGTTTTTGCTCAAGGCAGAAACCCAACAGGCTCATAACTGTTTAGTGGCATTTTTTTTGATGCCTCTCTACTGTCCAAAACGTCTCTAAATTTTCAAAGTATTGTAACTGCTGATTTATCCTTGAAGTAAATTTACATCTTGCTTGTATTAGGAAAAATGGCAATTGGAAAAAGGTGAAGATTCAAGGTTTTGAAAGTTTGACATGAAGACGTACATGAAAGCTGACCTGCTCATGTTCAGTTACGTGTTTTTACATAAGCTGATGTGTATCCAGTGTTAGTTTTGGATATGTATATGTACTTTTTGCCAGTACATCACACATGTACATTTGAAAGAAGAGTCCTGCTGAGTTGTTTCTGCGACAGGTTTTGTCCGTTTAAGATTATGAAACTAAATTAAGTAGCCAATTTAATTGTAGCATCTGTCAATTTCAGCGAAATTCATGAGTTCATCAAAACAACAGATAATGCATTGTTATCAGTAGTTTACAGTCTTTGACTGTGAGGTATGCATAGCTATGCATGTACAAAACTCAGCTGGTGCTTTGGAACTCTTCCAGTAATGGGTGTGGCAAAATCGGAGGCTGAGGATGGAGATGAAGATTGTAGTCTATTAGGCATGTGTGCTCTCAGTGCTTTCCCATGAGAGAAGTTGTCAGATCTTTAGACTTAACACATTTCACCTGTGTCTTGGGGATTAGTTGGAAAGGCAAGGTATTGAACAATGAATTCCTCTGTCGATGTGGGTGCCGTAGTGTGCACATCATCCTTACCATCAGGTGGCTCAGTTTGCCGACTTCCTGATACCTGGCTACCAAAGGTTGTACTCTCCTGCTAGACAGCAGCAGGCTCCAAACCAATAGGTCAGCCAATTTCAGTGATTCCTAGACCAGGTGCTAGACAATCTGCGGCATTGCATGATCCCTGTTACTAGAGCAGAGCGGATTTAAGTGGAGAGGGAGGAGTGGCAAAGACTTGTCCATGAGGGCGCTGCAGAGGCAAAGCTCAGATGGTAGGAGAAGGGACAGCCCTACTAGAAGCAAGCCAGTGTGCAGACTGTATTGTCCTACTGGATCAAACATGGCAGCCAACACATAGTACTTGTACATGTACTTGTGTAAATTTACATTACCTCAAAACTGAAAGTAAAACTCAAGCGATGATGTAAGTCGCCTTTGGAGGCACTCTGCTGAAATTGAAAGATGGCTGTGCAAGTCTGAAATAAATCATGCACATTCTAACTTGAGTGTTATTTTGCAAAAAATGTGTGCATCTTAAAAATGGATTTTAGTCTCAGAATTCTTAAAACAAACTTGATTGGACAAGCAGCTCTTATACTTGAAAATGAGTTTAAATGCCAATTTGAAGCATTACATTGAGAAATTTAGTAGCATTTCTCACCAAGCTGTTGGATGCGACGCATTGTCTGCATTGAACTAAATGGTCATGTGACAGCACCAACAGCAGTGACATGGAGTGAGTGGTGAAAGAACCAACAAAAACTGAACCAAACCTGCATCTACACCGTATGCTGTGAGCACAATTCAATTACAACATCCACTCATTATTCCTTGTTTATTGCTGTGCGTTTTCATTTATTTGTGGGCCCTCTTACACTGTAACAGTAATAAGGAAAAGAAAGAATCCAATTTTGAAAGAGATCTGTAGAAATATCCCGCTTGCCTGAGCAAGGTAAAGCATTCATGAGAAAAGAATAAATGAGAACAATGGAGTGTCTTAGGCTACACGACAAAGATGCTAAATGATGCATTATATAATATACATTGAAAACAAACACAAATGGAGTCAGAAACTAACGATATCAATCTGAGAACTTCCAAATTTGAAAAGTTTTTAAAAATGCATTGTAAGTTACACATACAAACAAACTGCTGTCTGCTTATTACTGTTAAATTTATATTACAGTCTTATGCTAAAGTTTTGAAGGCATTTTCTGTTGGCCCAATTAATTATGACTTGCATAAACTACAGATTTTAAAAAGGTGAAATAAACAGTGGTGATGGATTACAAGAAGGGAAATTTACTTGAGTTTCTCTTTGCTTACTGTCTGTGGTGAGGTGACACAATTGACAAAATGTCATTAATTTGCCAAATTTCTCATCCCGGGCTGTTCCTCACCATCAATATTCAATGGTGAAACATGCAGAAGGGGAATAACTTAGTGGCAATGTGCACACTGTTAAATGATCATTTCTGAAACTGTGGCACGTTGCACTTTTTGAGTTCTCTACAGAATTTTTTACACGCTGCTCTCCAGGCTAAATATCAGGAGAAGTTTGGATTCCTCACAGTGCAGGCTCTCTGTGCCAATCCCAATAGCTATTTGGCAGAAATTTGGTCACTTTCACATATTTCCTGTTGCAGCTGTGATGTACATAAAAGAACCAATCTTTAAAATGCTAGTCCAAATTCTTTACCATATTAATAAAATTAGCCGATTATTGTACATTTGGGCCTGTTTAACAGAGAATGCACACTCTTCCCTGATAGCATTTCATGCATGTTGCTACAGTGTCAAACTCTGTACAGTAATAGGCACATCGGTTACTTAAAAATAATAAAACAAAGTTTCTACATAGGTTATGCCTGGGGACACCCAGTCTTCGTGGGTTCAACCCCTGTTGTAGCGTGCCCGTACGCAGCTGTTTTGGTCGTTGTCAAATGTGAAGCCGGCGTAACACTGGCAGGTGTAAGTCTCCTGTACGTTTAGGCACCGGCCCTGACCGCAGATGGTCCTCGGTAAACTCTCACAGGCACCTCTTCCTGAGAGAGTAGGGGGAAAAATATCCAATGAGCCAAGACCACGGGTGAGATATGGGGATAAAAATTGAGTTTCTTCAGAAACAAAGGCAGTCTGCCCTAAATGGAGGTGAACCCAATTATTCATGTGAGGCTTATTTCTTCATGATAATTTCTGTCTTTTAAGTGATTCAATAACCATTTGAGATCAACGAAAAAATGGGAAGGAAAAGAAACATCCCTAAAAAAAGTCTAAAAATGAGAAGAGGTGTACACTGGCCACTCTGGATCAGTTTCTGGTCAACAGAGTGGACCAATTTGATGTTACTGGTGGTAGGAATTTTGTAACTGTAGCTAACTGCTACTACTTTATTACCTGTCATGGTCTTGATGGTCTTGGGTGCTGGTAATGACATTAGGGGGAGGGATTAGAGGTTCTGTAAACTACTCAGACTAAGGTCATACCTGGCTGTTGTCCAGCCCCTCCAGATACACCTGTGCCGCTGGGCTGGGGCCTTGGTCGCTGCCCCTGCGTTGGTCTGGTGTTAGGATTAGGGTTGTAACTTGACCCTGATGTTGTGGACTGGGTCCCCCTGGTGGTTGTCTGTGGAGGCTGATACTGAGGATATTGGTGGCTCCCATGGTAAGGCGGCTGGCCCCCTGGGTAGGGTTGTTGGCCTCCTGGATAGGGTTGCTGGCCCCCTTGGTAAGGCGGCTGGCCTCCTGGGTAGGGTTGCTGGCCTCCTGGGTATGGTTGCTGGCCCCCTGGGTAGGGTTGCTGGCCCCCTGGGTAGGGTTGTTGGCTCCCTTGGAGAGGTGGTTGTCCCCTGTAAGGCTGCTGGCCGCTTGGGTAGGGTTGCTGGCCTCCTGGGTATGGTTGCTGGCCCCCTGGGTAGGGTTGCTGGCCCCCTGGGTAGGGTTGTTGGCTCCCTTGGAGAGGTGGCTGGCCCCTGTAAGGCTGCTGGCCGCTTGGGTAGGGCTGCTGACTGCCTGGGTAGGGTTGCTGTCCCCCTGGGTAAGGTTGCTGTCCTCCTGGGTAAGGCTGCTGTCCCCCTGGGTAAGGTGACTGACCACCAGTGAAGGGCCGTTCTCTCAGTGGCATGGGATCCTGGTACGGTTGACCGCGTGGATTATAGCTGAACAAATAAAAATGACAGGCACTGACTACATGCTGGTGACAAACAAATAGGCCTACCCATGACCATTTCAATAGAAGGTTATACTGCAACAATCCAGATCATTATTTGATGATAGTGTTCAAATCAGAGAACATACTTTTTTGGGCCCTCATTTATACAGCAAGTGATAAAGAATGTTCAGTGTGATAAAATAAATCAAAGACAGTGGTTTCCTATGGCACTGTTTACAATTGATAAACTGTAAAATAAGACAATGAACTGCCAAATCTGCATGCACATTAGAGGTATTAAATGATGGATGACTTTTTGCATAAACTTTCTGTTTCTGCCCCCTCTTTACGATAAAATGTAAATAAAGAACTTGAGATTGGACAGACCTGTCAGGGTACTCCCCTCCTCCAGCACTGGGCACTTCCCTTGGTCCTTCACCTGGAGCGTAGAGACCATCCTCCCCTGTTGGATGGCCGTAGCCCGTGGGCACGTCAGAGTCCTCACGAAGGTGTACGGGTCCCCCGCCAGGTCTGACCGGGCTTGGGCCCTGGTCTGACTCACAGAGCACCTGATACTCGTCTGTGGAATCCAAGAGAAGAATTCATCAGAGAACTGACTTGAATGTCTGGGTAAATGACAGACATGACCAATGAAAACCCACATTATTCAGGTGAGGAGTGTAGGAAAATTAGTCCACAAGATGCAGCGGGTGGAATCTGAGCCATCATCAAGGAAAGAAACACTGTGGCTTCTTGGCTCCCTTGGATACAATAGTGTGATAGATCATATTGACATGCTACCATCATGGTATACAGGGGTGTTGTTAGTGGGAGGGGGTGGAGGATGCCACTCCTCCTTCCTATCATTGTGCTGATGACAATAATGGAGAAAGAAGGGGGAAGGGAGGGCGCGAGAGTCACACAGGTGCCAAGTTGGAAAATCAAACTACCATTTAACTCATTTTCCTGACAGTCCATCGATTAGTTTCATGATGGCATCTCCACAATTTAAAATTGTCTAGTGACACCCATGGGTGTGCTATTACTTTCGAAGAAAACAAAAAAAACTTGCAAGTCGGAACTCTGTAGCACTATGAAATAGTAATGAAACCTACGTAGTAGTCAGCCATATTAACCACTTGCTGCCGGGTGCTTTTAAAAATGCAGTGCACACATAAGGGCCATTTTCAAGATTTTCAGTTTTCGAAATTCTTCAAAAATTCATCATTTCATTTAATGGACGTTTACATCCACAAGAATGACTGTTTGGTGGCCATTCTAAGCTGACAGGCAACCTCCATTGAGTCCTGAGTATTTCAGCCAGGCCTGCCACCCTGTAAAGAGAGCCCAGAATTGTGAGGTGTTGCGTAATTTCCTTTGTTCCAAGTGAATGCGAATGGTGTCTTTTTAAACGTGGCTGGATTAGCGTGCAGTGGTGCTGTGTCGCTCATCAATGGGGCCCTGGAGCACTTTTGTCCACGGTGCTAATCTGCAGGCGTGCTATGCCCAAAACAGTGGTATACTGTTTAAAAACAGTGACGGATTACCTTCGAACATGCAAGCCAAAAAATGATGGCAATTCCCAGCAGCAGGTCTTTAGTTTCAAGTACGGTCTTCTGTTACACGGACCAGCTCTTTTGTCCCATTTCAGGCAGCCCGGCTCTGCGTATAAACCCATGGTGCCCGAACCAGGGTTCCCCAGCAGCAAGTGGTTAACATCAAATTATATACATATGTAAAAGACATATCATTTCAAAACGAAGCACAATTTGAGTAAATGTAAATCCACACAACCAGGCTCTATCTGAAATGGGCTTGAGAGCTACCGCCACGTCTGTTGTCTGCAGACATCACAGACTTATAATCCCAGACATGAGAGTTGGGCACAGTTTAACTTACATCCTCCAGCAGGGGGGCATGGGTCACAGCTGGTGCCCCAGCCCACGCCGCCTCCACAACAGCAGGCCCTGTAGGTCATGGCGGTGTTGATGATCCTCCCACAGACCGTCTCGTAGCCAGGCCGGTCAGTCTTGTGCCAGCAGAGGCTCTCCCTGTTGTCAGTTTCCGTGCCGACTACCCCGAGCACAGCTGAGATTGATTGCCAGAACAAACAGAGGAACAAAGACAGACCCAAGTCAGATGCTTTCTTGGTCAAGCTTTTTGGTAATAATGACCAAGCTTCTGAAACGATAGCCAACCATTTCAAGCAACTGTGACAACGTGGCAATGGTAGTGAAAAACCCTGACCGTCACTGTGGTTACGTTTGAATGCACCTATTTTGGACTACTTATTTCAAAGAGTTCAGGCTATGATGACTGGTCTTCATAAACAGTGTATTACAACCTATATCCCTGAGCAAGATGTTCTGCAACAATTGCCTCTACATGCCTCTGCTATTTGTGTGTGGTGGAAAGAAATGAAACTTGTCAAGGAGGGGAAAGACACAATGCAGTCAGTAGAGCAGTCCAAATGCTTATCTCAATTCCCGGGCAAGTTACACCATGTTGAGGAGCCAGAAATAATTATAAAGTGTGACAATTGTGAATCACTTCAGATTCGAGAGCAAAGACACACAAGAAACGATTGGCGACATGAAGCCAAGTACAAGCCTTAAAAGGCCTTCTTTTTAAGCTTCGTTGTCATCAAAATCTTGCATAGTCACTCAGTTGTCATTGCTAAAACATATTTTACACAGTACAAATGTCCTAGGAAGTCTCATCCGTATACTATGCATCAAAAACATGTAAAAAGGGGCCAGTTGTTGTGTTAAAGGATGAATAGTTGAAACACTACCATTTCCCCATAATGCACTGCAAAAATGGCCTCTCTTGGTGGCACCCTACATTGTGAACTGCCCCCCTACTTACAGATACATCTACGTCCCGTGCTGTCCAGCGTCAACGGCTCTTCACATGCACAGTGGAAGGTGCCATTCTTGTTGATGCAATGTCCGTACAGACAAACCTCCTCTTGGCCTGAGCACTCATCCACATCTGAGTAGAACCAATGAGAACTCATAGTATCAAATATCTTCCTTAATTGTACAACTGCAAATAAAATGTTTGATGCACAGTGTGATCTATGTGAGGTGATAAAATGTGACATGTTTTACAATCAAGTCCTGAGGTTTAACACTGCCGACGCTTTTCAACCGAAGGGGTTGTACTGGGCCACCACCTGAAATCTAGTCAGGGTTAGGAAATGATTTCTGTCTTAAAACTTTTAGGCAGCTCGAAAACACACAATTTACAATTCGAAGTGAGGGTACTGGATCCAAATCTGGACATCCCGGGTGCCTAATTTACACCTCCTCATGGTAAATACTCTTACATACATGTATGTACTGTGTAGATTCCTTGATGTGCTTCACAATCTACATTGGATGGAGATTATCCATGGTTGGCACACAAAAAAAGCTTACATGTATACTTCTATTTTATAGCTTTGGTTGCCTTCTAGGCACCATCACCAATTTCATGAAGCTGAGTTGGGATGGAGTCTTGCTTATGTCACTAAGCATACATGTACATGAGATCTATTAAGGTTATTTCAGGTTATTACTGGGGCTAAACTGTAATCCATGTTGTCAAAAAATTAGTACACGGTACTCACCGATGCATCGGTTCTCGGCTTCAATTAGCTGGTACCCACTCAGACATTGGCACTTGAAGCCTTGCTCGGTGTTAATGCAGATACCGTCGATGCAGGGGCTAGGGGATCGGTTGCACTCATTGATGCTTTCAGCGTCCCCTCCTGTGAAGGCCGCGGTTGGTTCCCTTGGCCCACCACCTGGGCCCCCTGATTGGCCGATTAAAAAGTTCAAATATATCGTGTGAAGTATATCATTTCTGATCTTCACAATGCTTTACGTTTTTTTTCTCTCTCAACGAGCACTTTGCACAGTTCAGCCTACAATTTGATTAAGAGAATAATCCTGAAACCAAACTTGGAAGCCATGACTGTGTTGGTACCCTGCTTGCTTACAAGTCACATTGTTACTTCAAATGCCTCTTTTGACCACTTAGATGGCTTGTCAAGATAAATGCATGCCCCAAACGTGCAATATTGGCTCCAGTGTAGTGTCACTGCAGTACTGGATGTCTCCTGTAATCACAGTAGCATAACTAGGCTGAAATTTCTGAGGGTGAGGCCAGGAATGCACATATTTTTTTCAAGTGGGCTCAGAAAGCCATTGAGCTGTGGTTTGTGCATATGTTGTGCGTAAGTCAGAATTTCAAATGGGCCACCTAAGGGCGACACATACTTTGCCCTTTTTTTTTTAATTTGCCAATGTTTGTTGAAAATGCTGTTGAAAATTTGTCGAAAATGTCGTACCTATGGGCACACAGAACATGGTGTTGTAGTTGAATGCCGAGCCAGCTGGACAGATGCACTGAAACCCACCAACCTCATTGACACAGTAGCCATTGTTGCAGACATCCTCATCGACCACGCACTCATCCACGTCTACAAGAAGAGTAAAGAAAAATCCAACCCAAAATGGCACTCTGCCCTTTTTCTCATTAATGACACCCTTCGTCTTGTGTTTATTTATGGTATTCATTGGAATCAGCTCAGTGTCCGCAAAATCATGACTAGAGAACATCCTGTTATTCAGGAAACTGTGCATTGATGTACAGATGCAGGCACTGAAAAAAAAACTCATGTCAGTGTAATGTGCAACTCCCATCCAGACTGCACCAAGCTACACTACTGCTCTGTGTAATGAAACACATCAGAATCTATAAGCTCTTACTTTGGTTTAATTGACAACCGATTAAGAGCAAGTTGATTTTTCTATCAACCACTTCGCGCCGGGGTTGGTTATCAATGTTGATAATTATCATTTTTTCTGTTTTCAAAATTCTGCAAAATTTCATCATTTCATTTAACGGACGTTTATACCCACCTGAAGTAATCTTTAGGCACTACTCTAAGTTGACAAGGAACCTTCATTGATACCCGAGTGTTTCAGCCAGGCCTGCAGCCTTGTAAAAAGAGCCCAGATTGTGCAGTGTTATATAACTTTCTTTTGTTCACGAACCTGGCTCAGTGCACTGCTGACCTCTTTTCAATAGGGGTCAGATTAGCGTGCAGCGGTGCTGTGTGGCTCATCGCTGTGGTGGTGGAGCACTTTTGTCCCCGGTGGTAATCCACTCACTCTAAACACCCCAAACCATGGTATACTGTTTCAAAACAAGGCTGGATTATCTCCACTTTTGAGAGTGAAAAATGTCGGTAATGCCCAGCAGCTTGGTCTTTTATTCGAAGTACGGTCTTTTGTTACAGGGCCCTGTTCCCTTTGTCTGAGTTCGGAGACCCCGGCCACGAATATAAGGCCTATGGCTCCACTACAGGGGCCCCGGTGGCAAGTGGTTAAAACAATTCCATAGGAATTTGCTAAGAAGGTTTCAGGTATGATGGAAAAAAACACAGACCTGGGTACCCACAATTTTGTGATCGGGTACTGGTCATCTGGGTGCTCACCAAAACCGAGTTCTTTTTTTCCTAGCCTTAAACTGTACCTCAATAACACCAAGCGCAGAGCTTTTTAAAAGAAAACAGAAGAAAATTGATCACAGGTTTTGGGGAATACAGAGTAAAAAGCAACGGCATTGTGGCAAAGAAGTTTGTCAACTTACCAACACAGCTTCTTCTGGTCTTATCAAACTCGAAGCCATCGATGCATTCACAGGTATAGCTGCCATGTTCGTTGGTGCAGTAGGCCTGCCCACAGATGCCTGGGGTCTCCACACATTCATTCACATCTATTCCCCGGTCACATCAAGGGAGGAAATCAGAATTCTGTAAGCCTTCAACTGATTAATAGATTATGTGGTTCCAACTCTCGATTACTTATGGCATGACAGCGCAAAACTTGTATGGTTGACAAATGTAGCAATCAGTATTGAACAATACATGCATCTGTGCTTTCGTAGAGATGGCATTTTTTAAAAATCTTGTCAAGAAATTGGGCAAAATAGCCAGCCTTGAAACCGTTTCCAAATATATACTTTGCATCGGGTAGATATTAATTTTGAAATATGGCTTTTGGCCTTTACATTCGTAACACTGTATAATCAGTAATGTCCAAGAGCTCATGAAAAAGTGAATTTTTGCAAACTTTAGATAGTGTTGTGAATACAGATCACCCACAAGTAAAAAGTAGCCAGCCTTAAGCTGTCTGCCGCCTACCATCTTTTTGGATAGCATTACCATTATAAAGGTGTTTTTAAGGGAAGTAACATTCACAAGTATATTTTCAGAATATATGAGAGTATCTGTAACCATGCTTCAAACCATAGTTCCCCTTTAATGAAAAACTTACAGCCTGACTTTTAACAAGGCCATTTTATTTTTATTAAGTCATACAAATGAGTTCATTTGGAAATGCTGACAGAAGTTTCGTTGAAATTATACAAAACACCATCGATGTGACAAGGAAAATGTTTAGATTGTAATTACCTAGACATTGATTAGTTCGGTCATCAAACTTCTCGCCTTCTGGACAAACGCATCTGTAGTTATCCGCTGTTGGCACACAGGTTCCATTCCCACAAATGTCCGGCACACTGAAACAGTCATTGTCAGCTGGATGGAAAAAAAAACCCCAAAACCAACTCCTATAAATGCTGAGCTCCCAAGTGAACAGGTTCAGAAGTTGGAACAGTCCAATGAATGCCATGTTCTGAAGTGTTTCTAATATTAC